TGAACAAGGAACTGAAGTAGAGCTACAAAAGATGCATTAACTTTGTGTGTCAATTTAAGGACTGTGTAATAAATCAAGACTGTTAATTTAAAAGCTTTTACAAGATACTATGAAAACAGTCATGTGAACAAAACAAATTCCTTTTCTCCTAACAGTGTAAAGTAGTAGTTCCTTAATATACTGAGACATTGGTCTGCAGCAGCTCTCTTACCTTTTACTAAGTTGACACTCAAATTCTGATTACACAATACCTTTGGATATATTTATCTTTAAATTTTTAAATCTTCCACCCTAGCTGAAGGTACGAATGAAACCTAAACCATGGTCAAAACGGTGGGAAAGGCCAAAATACAATATAAAAGGAATAAAGTTTGAGCTACCTGAAAAGAAAATGAAAGAAGCACAGAAGTGGAGCCAGCCATGGCTTGAGTTTGATATGATGAGAGAATATGATACTTCAAAAATAGAGGATAAAATTTGGAAAGAAGTGAGTGAAGAGCTTCAAAAATAATGGATTTTTGCAGTCTGAGGATTGAGAAAATTAATATTTACATTGAATACTGTATGGATTATAACTTGTGAAGTTTTGTATATACATAGGCAAAATACAATAAAATTAACCTTTCCAGAAACATCAGTGTATAGACTTCTGTGGTTGAACAGTAACTTTCTAGTCCTGAAAGCAGCCACTCCTTTCTTCCTGAGGAGTGTAATGCTATGGTCACCCCTGCTCCAGAAATAGGAAACCACTTTTTCAATTAGCTAATAAGGGATTTTCATCACCCCCTCAGCTGTGTTGTCATTTTCAAATACTTAGTGACCAGCTTTAAAAACTCCTTGACTCCTCTAACTTCAGAAATGGGTTTTAGCAGGGAAGTAGCCATGTCTGAGCCAACCACACACTCCAACAGTTCAGTTTTCCCATTAAAAAAATTACCTGTTTCTGATGGAGCAGATATACTCATATGCAAATAGAGCAGTGAATATGAATGCTCTGAAACCAGTTTTCAAGAACTGAGCCAGATTAGCTGAGGTAAACTAAGCTGTTTAATTGAAATCATGGTAATTGAGGTCAGGTTTGTGGTGAAGTGTTTCCCCAGGTGTCAGGGTAGGTTCTCAATACTGGGACAGCTGGGTTCATAAGACTGAATTTTCCACAGCAGAAGCACAGTGTTAACTGCCTTCCCCTGCTTAAAAGTCATGACACCATCTTTCTCCCAAGAAAGAAACATCTTACAGAGCTGAATTGTGATAGAGCACCTATTACATTTGTGTCATAGCACACAGCTGGTTGCTTCAGGGGAGAACAAGAGAAAAACAATGAGATCATGAGCTTGGGGTGGCTGCTGATGAGCCACTGCATGTTGTTGGCACTCTGGGTGGAAAAGCAACATAAATTCACCGTTATTAGAAGGTGGGATTTGCAACACAACTTCTGAAGGTAGTGAAGGCCAATAGTGTCTGAGGTTTGATCATACTTCTGGTAATTCCTCATCATATGTTTAAAGAATTGAACTCTAGAAGTCATTAACACAGCAAAATATTTTAAAATAGTTTTTATTTTGAAAAAAAAGGTAATCTTTTTCTGTAACACTGATCAAAGCTATTTACAATTAAAATATTTTACAAATATATATTTTTAACTTAAAAAATATAAAAGAAATAAGGATTAAGTGTGCAAGAGTTAAATTCTAGTCCCAGAAGATTTTGGAGAAATACAGCCCTAAGTAAACACAGTGGTCTGTGATGCCCTACAGTTTCCAGAATAAAGCATCTTTTTATATCTGCAACAGTCTTACAGAATAACAAAGTTACAAAACATTAGAAATAGAAACAAAAAAACTAGAAAGGTTCAATAAATCTTGCTGAGAAGCAAAAGGAGTTGCACAGTTTGTTACTGAAAAGTAACTGAAGTTGTTCTTGTCCTTATTGTCGAGATACCTTTATAAAGCATGATGTGACACCTCCAGCTCTGCACACAAGTTCAGTCTGTGTCACCCAAGCACAAAGGCCACACACAGGTCAAACACTGACTTCACATTTGCTCTTCCCTAGATGTTCTCTTATGTAGCTCTTACCTCACTGAACCCACATTTACCACGAACATTCCTCCATCAAACTCCTCACCTGCACACTGATGTCCCCTGTTCTAGGACCAGGGCGAAAATCCCTGTAACACTATGAATTCTGCTTCCCTAGGGATGAATATAACAATAACCCTACCAAAAACCACTGTGTGCCACCAGTTAGAAGAGCTCAATGACTGCTGAGTCAGAGAGTGGCATCAAGCAATTAATACAGAGAAGAGCTTGTAGAGCTACCTACTGGCTGGCAGTGACAAACTTCACAGGCACTTTCTATCCTTCCAGGAATCCTTCCAAAAAGGGTGAAGCAATAAAGCATTCTTAAGCATTTTAGAATGCCTGAAGCATCACTTCAACAACTGTAACTTCTAAAAAGACTTTTTAACCCAGGAGTAGATGGCAGTGGAAAACATTTGGAAAAAAAATATCAAGTATTTACAAAGACAACAACAGTTACCACCATCTCTGAGCAGGCAGGAGCCACCAATTACATTGCAACTGGTTTAGTGTGAACATCAGGCTTGTCTCAGTAATGTAAATGTTGCTTCCAAAATTTCTATTTCCTGATCATTGATTTCAGATGCTCAAGTTTGTACTCTTCTATGAAGCCTTCAACAATATCCAGAGCTTTGACTTTCACCAGAAGGAGAAGGACTTCTTCTGCTTCATTACTACAAAATTCAAAAAAAGGAAAAAAAAAAAAATATAGTAGCACATTTATGTACCTGACTTAAAGTACACTTTATTAATTTTAAGAAGAGTCAGGCATCCCCCTCCTTGGCCACTTCTCATCAGTGACCTTGGCTACACTGATCAGAAACAGGGCCCAGCAACTAGTGCCTCAAACCATCACATTAAACTAGAACTGCAGAATCACTCCTTCACACTATGGGCTCCAGCTTTTATGTTTATATGTGATAAGAATATCCTTGAAGATGTCAAATATAGGAGTTAAGGAGTTTAAGAAGTCTTTCACACCAAGTATAGGATGAGGTGCTTGAATCCCAAGGAAAGCCTTATCAATTACCTGTGGTTATTCTTGTGTAGCACACGGGCACATTGCAGCAAGTGCTGGCAGAAGCTGAGTAACTCAGGGAGAGTTGATCCACTTTTCAGATCTTGGAACCATCTCTCTGGGAGACACGAAACCACCTGTTCATAAAATAATATTTCCAAAAAGTTTAAAAACCAAAGTGTGTTAAAATAACTCAGTCACATCACTTCTGACAGCGACTTTTTGGAAGGTCTGGTCATTAATAGTAGTGTTTTTTCTTTGAAACCAAGACTGGTTATCCCTGCAAGTAGTTATTCTGAAGAACCTATGGACCAGTACTTGCTCTAAAATGTGTGTATGCACCAAGGTAATAAAAAAAAATAAATTAAAAAATTTAACATGTTTAGATTTTGAATCTTTTAAATATTCCATCTTCAGTTTTGACCTCTCTTCACAAAAAAAAACACAACAAACCAAAAAACTTTTCACATACACCCTCTTCCAATGTACATCTTATCTTTTACCTTATTGCACTTCTCTATACTATCCTGCCCTGGTGGTGTGTTTAAGATGTTCAGAAGAAGGTAACGATTCAGCAGCTTCTTCAGTCCCAAATCACGGACTGTATCTTCCTGTACAATCCCATCCCAAAGAACAACATTGGAGAGCAGCTGCAGTAACAAAGAAACAGAATATATATATACTTGGTGGCTGGAGGTTTGCTAAAACAATATTACAAGTTTTATGTAAGATTAAGATAAAAAAAGATATTATGTCCATCCAATTTCAGTACTCAAAACCCAGGATTCACACTCTCCAAACTCACTGCCTGTTGGCACTGATAAGCTGCATATGGTAAATAATCACCAGAGAGGGCAGTGACAGGACAAGGGGTAATGGTTTTGAACTGAAGAAGGGGAGATTTAGGTTAGACATCAGGAGGAAACTCCTTGTAGTAAGGAGCTGGAATAGGTTGCCCAGGGAAGCTGTGGAAGCCCTGGAGGTGTTCAAGGCCAGGCTGGATGAGGCTTGTGCTGCCTGGTCTAGTGGAAGGTGTCCCTGCTCATAGCAGGGAGGTTTGGAACCTGATGATCTTTGAGGTCCCTTCCAACCTTAACCATTCTATAATTCTATGATTCAATCAAGCAGGATAATTAATTTTACAAGTGCATCTGAACTGTACCCTAATATTTGTACATATCACCTCTGAAGGTTAGAAAAAGCATTTCACCCTTCTAATAGATTAGCAGTTTGCTAGAGCCCAAGCAGAAGAAGACAACTATGCTTTATTCTTTTTACAGAAGAGCTAACAGTCAAATCTGAAAGCATGAAAGAAGGAAAAAGTATGTAAGAATACACACCCCCCCCCCCACCTTGGAAATACAGACCAAGGACAGGAGGCATTTGATTCTAAGTGAACTCTCAAAGAATCCAAGGCTGAAGTAAACCAGGTACTACATCTGCTCAGATTACATGGGAGTTCCTCGTAACATGAGGAGATTGGTAGCCACAATTCATAGCAGCACAGAGAGATGTTTTTTACCTCAGTATTAGGTACTGAGAGTTTTCTTCTGTTGCACCATCACTAAAAACCTTTATAATTACAGTGTTTTTTGAGTCTGATGTAAGAACATGTCTGTCTTCTTCCTTAACTCAGACTAGGTTAATTTTAAAGTAACTGTTACCTCAAGGTATTTCACCCTCCCAGACACAGCATGCTATCTTTGCAGTCACCAGTCAAAAAGCACTCAGAAAGCCCACCACCTCTGCACATTTCTCTGGAGTATCTGATGGGCCACTTCCCTCTAACTGCCCAAGAAACCAAAACATGGATTGAAGTGAAAGGAGTGCTTCCACTGGCCAGCATTCCTCAGGGAAGTGCACAGCAGAGTAACAAGGAGCACTCTGAGCCCTGAAGCTACATGCTGTATCCACACTAGACAAGGGAGGCAAGACCAGAGTACAAACACTGAACTTCCATTAACTGTACTTTTGTTAGAAGAGTTCCTGGCTCACTTCTCACCCAAGTTACTCAGTATTCTTCCATACAACTTCTGGGCACGGTTTAGAGGCCATTCCTAATAGGCACTGTAAAGATGAGAACTGGACTGCATGCCAGGCAACCCTTCCCCTTAGCAGGAACATGTCTCAATGTTGAAGTAGTAGCATTAAGTTTTAGCTAGAATGAATCACTCCAGAGTTACAATACGGTGTGATTTATTATGCCATTTGCTTAGCTTCACTTACTTAGCATGAGTAGCTAGATTTGCTGAAGCCTTGAGCCACAACCTGTATATTTGCACCTAGATTTACTCAGCATGTACCTACTGAGTCAAAACAGGGCCTAAATAAGTAAGTGAATACAGAGGCTTCAAGACTACAATCATCAACAGCAGCTGCAACTAGACCAGGTAACAGCCTGTCTGAAGACAGTGAAGGAGTCTGCTGAGAAATAACACCCCAGACCTAAATACTACTACTGGACCAAACCAGTCTGCAAGAGTATAATTACTCAGGGATTTCTGACTGACTGCAAACTATTCTTTCACTAC